CGGGCGGACCAGACCTGTCCACACTATGGTGTGCTTGAGGGACAAGTTGTGGCTCTTTGACATGTGTCATTGGCCAACTCTGCCAATGGCCCTGGGTGTCACTGAACATCTTTCCCTAGCTGTGATGGTCGTGACTGATGCCTCCAGCACATCTGCAGTGTGTTGGTCCATGAACATGCTGAAACTGTTCAGATGAACAGCCTGTAACATCCTCTCCACGTTAATGAGTGATTTTGGTTGTTCATGTTTCCATAACTAAAAGGTCAGTCAGAAGCCTGGCCAGCTAGGAACTCTGACAGTAATTACACTAACAAGCAAAAGTCTCTGGCTTACTGCTACAGGCTACTTTCTCCTGGATCATGGGGACGCAGCACTGCTGTGGTATGATGAATGCAATGAAAGCAGTTAAAGGTTGGTCCCAGGGCCACGCTGATGGCAACTAGTGGGTCCTCATGTTTTAGCAGTGGGGCTGTGCTGCTGGAAGAGATTTGGTTTGTCCTCCAGCTGCAAGCAGCACTGTCTGCATGGCGTGATGAAACTCCTCGAGTGCCAGGGCACTGCAGACTTGTTGCGTTGGGGTATTAGCTGCAGATTTGCTGCCTTGGTTGTCTCCAGGCTCCGGCTGATGCTGTATGCCTGTCCCAAGAGATGTTCCTTCCCAAGAAGACCTCGACCCAGCAATAGGAGGAAGTACTGTAGAATGGGACATAATGGTCTGGTCTTCTAAAAGGCAAAAATATCTCTGTTGATTTCAAAAGACAACTGGGTCCTTTTTGTCCTTTGGCTTTGAGATAAGGCTGCATAATTTCTTCTTCAAGATGATCCCAGGCTCAGAATTCACAGTTGAGCCGTCTCAACAGAAAGTCTGATCCCGTGCATTAGCCAGAGAGAGGAGATTTATTTCCCTGCTCTTTCACCAGCAATCTGAATGGCCTTGGGCACGTTGTTTAAGAAAAGAGTTAAAATACAGGTTTAAAGGGAATAAAGGCTAGACTGTCAAATGTGCTCTGATATTACAAAAACAAGGAGTGTCAGGAAGAGATTTCAGAGTTTGGTACATGGGAACCAAAAGACACTTTTAATCCACTTTATTAGCATGCTTCTAGGTCCCATTGCAGAGGCAGTTGAAATTATAATGCCTCCACAGACAAAAAAACTTAAGTAACCTGAAAATGAGGTTGCTAAGTGACGTAAGAGTTACCAAAAATAAATGCCAAGAACATCAGCTGAGACCCTAATCATTCAGATATATGGGAATGATAAGTTCAAATAACAATTGCAGAAGTTTAATGTGCCAACTCCAGATGTTCGCTCTAAAGTGAGCATAAAAGCAGTGCTAGCCCTGCGACGGCATGGCTGGCTCGTTGCAGACAGGTCCAGAGGCAAAGCCAGTGCATGGAAGAATTTGCAGTCTGCAAGGAGACCATAACGGGCTGGTAAGAGCAGGGGGTTGAGTCGTTTTTGATAACTGTTGTGTAAGCCGTGAGGAAGAGCAGAGGTAGTGGAGCTACTGGGAAAAGTCACTTGCTGGGATTCATATCACATTTTGCGTTATCCATCCCCGATAGCCTAAGCCCTGGCTTTCGCAAAGAGCAAGCTGAGCTGCCCTATCGCAGTTGTACTCAACTTTTGCATGGAAATGCCTCTGAAGGTTTTCAGCGGATACCTCCCCCACCCCTGACTTCCTGCTACAAAGCACAAAGATGCTGGAGTCTGAGATGTACCGCACACATTGCGACAATGCAAAACAAATACGTCTTCCCTCCCCATTATCACAGTATTTGGGCATTACCGAAGCTCCACCTGTTTTGCAGCTACCAGCAGTGTGTAGCTGAAACAGATATTTGTGCATCAACACTGTAAAGGCTATAATCCCTCGAATTACATACACTGGCTTAATTCAAAATCCTTGCTGTATTGCATCATGTTGTAGTTGCTATTAGCATTGCAAACTTCCATCTCCTACACGCAGCCACTCAGCACACAGTGAAGGCAGGCCAAGGTGTTTCTGGGTCATTTGCCTCCAAGCGGGGGTTGCTTCAGATAGCTGGCGCCTTTATTTTAAGTACCAGGTCTTCTTTTGAATTTACTGTTGTGAATCATTTGCAGGCACGTTCATGTGTCATCTTCCCATGCGGCAGCATTCTGCACTGGGATGTTGCTGAGCCAATGTGCCTTTACGTTTTTCAGCTCTAGGTTAGATGAGATTTAGGGTGGGATCTGCACTGGATTTTTTTGATGTTTCTACCCATGCCGCAATGGAGGCTCAGAAGTGCTCCCTGCCTCTAATTTTGCATCACTGCCAGTGCCCCATCTATCTCAGGATCGCTTGGAGAGGAACTGAGCACTCCTCATGCGGGGAAGGAGGGCCCAGGACCTCGCTTCCTCATGCCTCTGCCTGCTCCTCGAACAGCCAAGCTTGGCAAGTCTGTGGCAGAAGATTTTATTTGCCGTTATTGTTGAACAGGAGGGAATTTCAATGCTGTTCCCTTTTTGTTATTTTTTGCTAGCTAATCTCTGTTGGAGCATGTGCCTGCTAGGTAGAAGGCCCTATTCAGCAAAGCACAAGCTTAATTTTATGCATATGCGTCCATGATATTGGCTGCAAAAAGATAACCCTGGAGGAGGTTGCAGTAAACTATTGAGCGTGTAAGTGGCAATATTGTGGTCTTTCGGCAGGGGGACAGCTGGAAAACATGGGTGTTTGCCATCTCAGGGAACAGTCAGGGTCCTCCAGGCAGAGGCAGATGAGAAGGTCTTCTGGTGCAAGAAGTGAGCTGGGATTATTTGCAGGTGGTATCTCACCCCGCAGCACTCACCATCTGAGCCAGGTTTGTCCTGGGTAGCTCTACGGGGATCATTTAAGAGAGCAGCGTGGCCGCCTCGCCTTGCCAGCATCCTGTAGCCAGAGGCCGGGAAGTGTCACCTCAGATTCCCTGCCATGCCCCAATGATTTTCTGCCCCCGACTGAATGGTTCTGGAGAAGGAGCAGGTCCCCAAGCAGTGGTGCAAGCCCAGCCCACGGCAGGAAGAAGGTGGATGTCACGACTCCTAGAGAATATTGCAGCCTGCGGCAGCACTGATTAGAGGGTGCGGACTGGCTGCCACCTCCTGCTCATTGTTTCAGGAGAAAGTGCTTGAGTGAGATATGCGAGAGACAGTTTTCAGGTGGGTAGCAGAGCTGTGACACGGAGGCAGGCGGTGGGAACAGGCTGTGCTGCAATACCTTGCACTGGGGGAGGAAACCAGTTGTCTTCGCCCGGCTCCCAGCTGCGCAGGAGCTCCTGGCACCGCAGGAGCTGGCATCCGCTGGCCTTCACTTAAAGAGCTCCTGTGTCCCATCAGAGCACAAGCTGTGGCAGGGAAACGCATGAAAAGGGGTGGCAGAGAGAGGGGAGACCTTGCAACAATGTCTTTCTAGAGTGACACTAGGTTTCCTGGAGCACTGTGGACTCGGTCGTTTCTTCAGGGACTGGATGGGTCTCAGAAGGTGACCCTTCATCCTTCCTTATATGGTGTCTTGATGGAGCCAAGGCTCCCAGGAGAGGCGTTGCCCATGCCAGAAGATGCTATCGTACTGGGGTCCAGGTCTTAGCATTTCAATCTCAGCAGAGATGTCTCCCATTAGTGCTAACAGGGTTTGAACCACTTGTAACTGCTGCTTTGGAGTCAGGTCTTTGTTTCTCCGTCGTTCTGTTGCAAATCCCTGGGGAAAGCTTCTTTGGCTAAGGCTCCTCAAGCCGTCTCTTAGTAGGGAATTAACCTCCCCAGTTGCTTCTGCCCTTGGGCAGCCTGGGGGAGATGGTGCCGGGCAGCTACAGGGGAAAGAAATGGGTTGGTGCCCGAGCATGAGTGTCTCCAGCCCTGCATGTCGGAACAAGGTCACCGCTTCCTTGGCCCCAGTTCACCACATGAAAGGTCAGAGCAGCTCCTGATCTGTAATATCTCTGTGCAGGTGTAGCCTAAACGGGACCTTAGGTCTGGAACCATTTATGAGCTATTCACCAGCATGGGCTGGATTCCCCAGCCAAAAAAAAAAAAAAAAGGGAGCAATTAAAATTCCCTCTCTCTTTGTTGCAGGCAAATCAAGAGGTCAAAACACTTTAGCAAAGCTGCAACAAAAACATTCACTTGAACATTCATGTCCTGCAGCCTTTGTGCATGCCATCAGGGCTGGAAACGCTTCTCTTGAATCCTGAGAAATACCCATGGGGTCCCCTTGGCAGGGACATGGGACGAGGGGGGCGGGTTAGGCCACAGTGCTTTTGG